CCCTACTTCCCCATAATGTACTATGAGAATTGAAGTCACCTAAAAGCAATAAAGGTTCTGGGAGCTGCTCTGTTATTCTGTCCAACTCTCGCTGATCAATATGCTCATTTGGGGGTAAATAAATGGTGCAAACAGAGATTGCAAAGCTTAAATTAATCTGAACTGCCACAGCTTGAAGGGAGGTCGTCAAAGGGAGAGCAATATACAGGTGATTGTGGGAGGTGATAAGGCCCACAACACCACAGGCACGATCCCCAGATGGGTTGTCCTTTCTTACTGTTGTATATATCCGTATCTTAGCATGTCTGCTTGGTTTTAATAACGTCTCCTGAAGCGCAAGGCAGGCAGGTTGATACATGTTTATTAAATCCTTGATGATATCCAGGTTTTGACGAAAACCCCGGCAATTCCAGGAAATAAATGTACCCATTATTGATGCTTGTTTTGGCAGTGTTGGTGTTTTGACTTTCGAGGCAAAAGGTGTTTCGGAAAGGATAACCTTTCTTCAACGTCCATTTCGTCTGAGTCGTCTAAGCGTCCTGAAGTCATGCTTGCGATGGAACTTGGACTGGGGGTCCTGAGTTTTTGCTTATTTTTCTCTTTGATACCATCTCTATGCTTGTTCTGTCGGACATCTTGTTTTCCTTTGGACGCTGTCACTGGCGTACTACTTTCAACATCAGGTTTTTTCCTCCGATTTTTGGTTTCTAGGATCTTCTGTGGTTGCTACTTCTTTTTTCTGTGTGGTTATTGTGGTCTGCATTGATACTGATCTGAATGATTTTGTTGCGGATGCATAAGATTTATTAGATCTTGGCTGATTAGAGAGAATAAGTCTTTTGGCTTCTGCAAATGATATCTTGTGTAACTTTAATGTTTTGAATTTGTTTTTCTGTCTGCCATTTTGGGCATGATCTTGAAAAAGCTGAATGCTCGCCTTTACCGTTTATACACAAGCAGCCTTCACTAGCGTGGCCTACGATGAAACATCGAGCGCACATGAGGCTACTGCGACAAGAGGTCTTTCCATGTCCAAAGCGCTGACATTGAAAGCAACGCATTGGATTCAGTATATATGGCCTGACTGAACAGTTTAGGTATCCAGCTTGGATGTTTTTAGGCAGGTTAGGAGACTTGAAAGTTAAGTATGACATGTTTAGTGGGAATGAGTTGACCTTCTTTCCGTATTTTGATCCTACGAGCACCACATATGTTTTGATCTGCCAATTCTTTAGCAAATTCCTCTTCAGTTACTGACAGTAAGTCTATTTCAGAGATCACTCCTCGGGACGAATTTAGAGCGATATGAGGCTTAACTACAATGTTTGCTTGTCCTAATTTAGTTAGTTTCAAAAGACTATTAGACTGCTTTCCAGACACAGTTTCTATCAAAAGGTCCCCAGATCGAAGTCTCTTAAAATTTTTCAGTTCTCCTACAGAAGACAAAAGATGCTTGTTTATTAGAAAGGGTGACATTTTTTCCATTCTTCAGAACTGGTTATAATTAAGAAACGTGGACCAAGTACATCTGATGCAGTGCTTTCTACGTCGCTTCTTAGTCTTTTAGTCACAGCCGTAATATCAGGTACATTGTTGGAGCAGGAAGGTATCATAGTATTCATATTTAAATTGAGAAAGATTCGAGTCCGACCACCCCACCCCCCATGGAGCCCAACAAGGGGACGCAGATTCCTACGGCAAGGCTAGCCGGACCTATACACAATCTGAAGTCCCACAGTCGGCTTTCCCAAAAGCAGGTACTCCCGAGAGCTTGTCCCCAAGCCACTGACACAAGGACTAGTGACCAGCCGATTGACACCCGTGAGGATGACAAGGTGCCTCCCGTTTCACTGAAGCAGAGGCCAAAGCAGTGTGTTGTGGACAGTGCCTCACCCCTCAATTACCAGGACCCTCCTTTCCAGTGATACAGGTCTCCACGCACGGTAAACACGTGGGTGGTTTTCTCGCCATTCGAAGAACTAGGGACAAGGCTGTTCCAGTTTCTTATGACAAGCCCGAACCTCGGAAGAGGAAACCACATGGGAGAAGGAAAACGGGAAAAGTTGCAGTGAAGAGGAGAGGAGGCAGAAAGGAGGAGAGATCACTGGGGCTCCAGGATTGTGACACTCGATCACCGAGACGGTAATCCTCTGAAGGATCTTCACCTGCTATGCTTTAGCTGGGCATGTTGGAACGGCCTTCACGCCTAGAGTGGCCCTACCGGGAGCTAAGCTCCCGACATACTTCGCCCGTTCCGCCCAGTGACAACCCCGCCACGTTGAGGCAGCATAGCAGGGCTTGGGGGGGTCAAAATGCACGGGAAAAATTCAATTTATTGAGAATATCTGGGTTCACCTCAAAGTTTTTAAACTAAAACTTAATGTGTTTGCTGGGTAGCTAGCTAAGAACGACTCATCTCATTTCCCAAGGTTAAATTCAATACCTCAATAAATGAACAGAAGCTTCAGAATTATGAAGATGGTTTGAAAAAACTTAATTTTGAGATCTAACACAGATTTCAAGATTTTGGTGCCATTCAAACAGAATTGGATATTTTTACCATGCCTTTCAATGTAAATTGTGAAGCAGTGAGGTCAGATTTGTAGCTTGAATTAATTGAGTTGCAATCTACCAATCATCTCAAGCAGTTGTTTCTGTCAAAGTTAGAGTTTTACAAATCATTATCAAAAGTAATTTTCCAAATTTAATATCTCACACCCAGAAAATCAGTGCTATATTTGCTTGATCTCATATATGTGAACAAGAGTTTTCAACTATGAAGCTTAGTAAGAATTATTTCAGGAGTAGATTGACAGATGAGCATTTAGCCTCGTTCCTTAGAATCAGTACATCTCACTTTGAACCTCAATATAGGGAACTTTTAAAAATGAAATCGCAATTTCATTCATCTCATTAACATATTTGTATTACTTGTATATTATTTTTAAAATCTTAGAAAAATTTATCTTGCCAAACTTTTTTTTTCGATTTTTGGCCTGCGACCAAAAAAGTTTGCCCATCCCTGTACTAGACCAACTGTTGTAGTGTAAAGTCTGACAAATGGGTCAAGGCCTTCATCCTGACACTTTCCGAGCTTCAAACAAAATCTACTTGCACCATTATACTGTCAGCTCTGAAAATAGTTTTCAACAATATTACTCGGCCTATTCCGTACCTGTTCCCTCTTTTCAACAATATTACTCGGCCTGTTCATTCTCTCTGAATCCTCATCATCAAATTACAGTGCAAATCTTGACACATCTGTGGACATCATGCTGATTTCCCCGCTCATTTCCAATGCATTAATGCAATAACTTCGTCATTTTTTCAGCAGCAACTGGTTTAACCCTCTGGCTGCTCATCCTGCAATTTTCGTGGACAACTCAAATGCAGCAAAATCTGCTCATCCCGCGGACATGTGTTTTTCTTCCTTTATTGGGAAGTGCATCCTGTTTTTCTCCCGTTTAGCCATCAAAATAAATTATATACAGTATTAGACATTTTGGCAACAGATATCGTTAGTTGTTCACTATATTGCGGCATTTGAAGGCACATGGTATTACTGCTCAAACTTCACTTTTTGCCGTTTTTTTTCTTACAGAAATGGCTGCAAGAAAACGTTCAGTGATTATCTTCATTATTTAATTAAATTATTGAATTATTAATTATATTGATCATTAATTAGATTTATTGAATCTGGTGCAAAGACTGTGAAGTTGGACTTTGTCTTGAAACCTGTTTTGAACTCTATCATACTAAACTGCATTTCTAAGGTAGTTTTTCCTCGGTGCTTTTTATTTTCTTAAATTTTATACATTTTGCTTTTTTATATTATGCAATAAATAGAAATTCAACTGAAATTTATTAAAAAAAATTTTTTTTGGTGGTAACATCTGAAATTGGTTTTTCTGGCAACTTTAGTTTCTCATGATAAAAATCTATATAAAAAATATTTTCTAGAAAGTAAAAGTTCCTTTTTCAATTCTCCAATATATATAGATTTAAAATATGCAAAAAAAATTACACAATTATTGAAGGGATTTCGGTCTACAAATTGAGCAGTCAGAGGCTTAATAGATTCTAAACATCTCATACTGTTAACCACTTAACAATTTCTTTTTTCCGTTACATTATGACAAAAAAAAAAAAAAAAAGCATATTTTGTCAACATTTTTATGAAGAAATTCATTACATAAACCCAAATCAGCAATCAGAACTATTACAAGTGTTGAATTTACTGATTTATGCTAAATTTTATTTTCATCATAAAAAGCACATTTTCTCTTAAAGTTGGCTTTTTTTGAACAAGTAAGCGAACTAGAAAGAAACTTTACAAAAATAGATGTAAGAATTTAAAATGTTTTATTGTTATTACATATCTGTTTGATTCCCAAAAAGAATTATTAATATCAAGAAAGAAGGATTATTAATATCAAGTTCACAAAAGCTCTGAATTTGCATTAGATTATCTATACTTTCCGTTTCTTCATCACTAGAGAAATCAGACAATAAACTGTCATTACTTCCAGAATCATTTAGTGAAATTTCAGATTCACTATCTGAATCAATATCTTCAGCTATAAGCTGCTCATTATAATTTATTTCTTCTTTTATTTTAGCTCCAAATTTAAAAGAAATAGTATTCGCAGTAGCTGGAACACCGAACTAGTGAAAAGAAATTTCGCGTTTTTACTTGCGTAAAAGAATTCAGTAAAACCTAACCCTGAAACGAGTTGTTTTGCAATTCTAACTTTACTGGATTACTAGCGCCATCTGTTAGAAACATTACACATTAAACAAGCAAAAAATTCGGGCAAATCAGTGTATTAGACTATGAAAAAATGTTCCCCAAGCACCGCTCGGAAAATCAAGAGAGTGCCATTTCCCCGTACTGGGAAGTAGTTAATTGATATCAAATAAAACTTCATACAGTGAAACTATTAGAAAACACCTTTGCTACACTTGTGAACAGATTAATGAAATGGGAAAAAAATACTTACAGTATTCAATTCAACTTCCCACAGTTTCAGCGCTCGATCCATATCAGTTATGTTATTGTTAGAAAAGTTTTCACTATATTCTTGTAGATTGATTGATTTTAACCATTCATCAACAGACTTAGGAAAATTTTCAGTTCCTTTATACTTGTTCACAGGTTGTATGGATGGCAATTTCTGAGCAGAAGAACACAACTTTTGTCTGTCTGAAGCATTATGGATGCCAATCTCTAAAAGATCTACTTCTTCAAGAATTTTTCCACCCTAAACAGTAAATTTAAAAGATTAATAAAGATAACAAAGAACAGGTACTTTCAATATAGTAATAAGCATTGTTATGCAATACATAAAATGTCGGCTATGTGAAATGAAGTAAATGTATGTTTGCACAGATAAGATAAACTTTTAATAAACCATTTAACTTATCGTTGACCATGGCTTACTCACGGTTCAAACATGCAGTGGTTAAAAAAAAAAGTTTTGATTACATTACAGTTAAAACTATATGTGGTACGCATTTCTCAAAAAATAATTATTAACCCTCTGACTGCTCAATTTGTGGACCGAAATCGCTTTCAAAATTGTATATACAGGGGTTGGACAAAAACATGGAAACACCTTTAAAAAAACATATTTCTTTGCTTAATATGGTGTAGGAAACCCGTTGGCATCCAAAACAGCTTGCAGTCTTCTCGGAATGGATAAATACAGTTCCTGTATGTTTGCCAAGGGAATATTATACCATTCTTCCTGCAAAACGGTGGCAAGTTCAGATAACGATGTTGGCGGTGGATAACGAGAATGCACTTTCCGTTCCAATGTAGACCACAAAGGTTCGATAATATTCAGGTCTGGTGACTGTGGTGGCCAGGGGAGATGGGACAACTCATCCTCGTGCTCAGAAAACCAGTCCTGGAAAATGTGAGCTGTGTGAACAGGGGCTTTGTCGTCTTGGAAGACACCATCACCATCGGGAAACAAAGTTTGTACCATGGCATGAACTTGATCGGCCAAAATGTTCACGTAAGTCTTGGCAGTCATGTACCCTGACACAGTTATCATGGGGCTAGCAGAGAACCACGATATGGCTGCCCAAACCATAACAGAACCCCCGCCATGTTTCACTCTTGGTAACAAGCAGTCTATTATACACTTGAGATGGCGTTCTCCAGACGTAAACTCGGCCAGAAGTGAGAAACAATGTGAAAGAAGACTCGTCAGACCATATTACTCGCTTCCACTGCTCTATAGTCCAGGCTTTATGACTTAAACACTCTTTTCCTGTTACGGGCATTAGCATCACTGATGAGTGGCTTCTCAATTGCAGCACGGCCAGCAATTCCCTGTTTATGAAGCTCCCTTCTAATTGTTTTGGTACTCACAGGGTTTGGTAACACAACATTCATTTCAGCAGTAACTTTTGCAGCTGTGGTCTTCTTATTTTTCGTCACAATTGCCCTTAATGATCGTCTGTCACAATCACCCAGGACACACTTTCGTCCGCGCTGTGATTTAGCAGATGATGTTTTTCCGCTTTTTAAATATGCGGAATAAATCTTCGATACAGTACCTCTTGAAACACTAAACACCTCGGCTACCTTGCTTACGGAAGCACCTACCATACGTGCTCCAACAATTTGCCCACGTTCGAAGTCTGTTAACTCTGACATAATGCAATGACAACCTCACATAACAGTACTTCAACAACAACTGAACTGTTTAGCACATTTACGAAGTTGTATAGGTGGCGTCAGTAGTCAAAAACACCAGCGCCACCTACATATTTCATTAAAATCAATCTTTCTTTTCAAACATGCATTTCACAAGGTGTTTCCATATTTTTGTCCATCCACTGTTATAAAGTACCTAGATCATTTAAAAAATGAAATTAAAAATAGAAATTTAGAAGCGGGTAGATTATTTTAAACTCCTCAGTTCATTGCAGTATATGTAATATATTTTTGTAATATAAAAGAAAACTAAAGCAAACAAAATTCAACCCAAATTGCAACTTTCAATAATTGCAATTTAGTGGACAACTAACAATATCTGTTGGCCAAAATGTAGACTAAAAGCCTAATACTGTATATAATTTATTTCAATGGTTAAACAAGGAAAAAAAGCAGGATGCACTCCTCAATAAAGGAAGCAAAACATATGCCCACAGAAATCGTGGGATGAGCAAATTTTGCTAAATTTGAGTTGCCTGTTGAAATCGCGGGATGATCGGCCAGAGGGTTAATACTGTTGTAAATTTTGGGTACACTGTATTTCCATGACATTTCAAAATGCCACTTTCACAATGTTGCATAAATAAAAAGTTCTTTCTAGATATCAACTTTTCTATTTATTATTTTCAGTTTGAAATGTCTTCTGTAATTTTAATGAAACTGATGAGAAAATATATTATTTTTTTTTTTATAAAGATGAGAAAATATATTATTTTTTTTATCTTTTAAAGATTGGGCTATTTTGTATACATACTAATATATTTTAGAATACATTTATATTAATATAATATACATAATAGAATTTATAGAATGTACATACATATAGGTTTCTTCCCCCCCCAGAAATACATTTATAGAATGACATACATAGGTTTGTTATAGGTTTCTCCCCCCCCCAGTTTCTCGATTTAAAAATATTTCCTTTACATTTTTTAAACCTTAAAATTACCAGCTTTCATATTACAATGTTTATTTAAAAATGAATTCTGAAACAGCTTTTTTTATTCGTATCTTTATTTTCATTTCATTCTCTATTCTTTATAAAATCTGATTATTTAAAAAAAATTATGCAGAAAATCAAGAATATAGCTGGCAAAGTGATTATTTGAGATTTTCCGAAAATTGCAAATGTTGTAAAAAACTATACATATTACTTATGAAAAAATTTGATGATGCATAAAAAAAGAATTTGTGCTTAATGATTTGGTTTGGTTTATTTAATTATGGCAAAGCATTCAAGGGACACCTGCCTAAGGGGAGGAATGCCTTCATGGAGCACTTTATAAGGAGAACTGGATCACATACACATTATGTATGTGGAAAAAAACAAAAATGTCCATGCAGCCATCCAGTTCCATGGGATTTGAACTGCCAGTATTCAGCAACTTTACGACTTAGCCATTGTTAGGCCCTCAATTTTGTTTAATGTACCCTGTATTTCCAGAATTGTAGCTAGTTTGCAAATGTCTACACATTCATGTTACAAACCATGATTCTTGTCATGTAATACACTAAGGAAAGTTAATAACTGACAACGCAAAGCGACAGGGAGGCTTCCGCCCCAGCCATACGGAATTAAGTGCCAACCCCACCAAAACTAATTAAAACTTTTTAAATGTCTTTTATTTTTAATGTAAATTTCAGTTATAGCTAAAAGAATTACTGAATGCTAAAAATAATTTCTTCGTAAGGATGTTTGATTTAAATTTTTAATGTACTTGGTAAATAAAATGAATTCAATAGATCTCTTTGCTCTGTTGAATTCCAAGTATAACAACTTTCATGGGTTTTTATTATCTACGCACCATAAATACCATCAAAACATGAAACTACACAGAAAATTTAATAAATATAAGAAAAAGTAATTCCCATCTGTATACATTTAATAGCTTTTACTCAAAAAGTATTTTATATTGATTTCTGTCATTAAACATGATTATTCATGCACCACCATAATATTTGAGTCAAAGAAAGAATTCCTTGTTTGTTAAATTCAAATGAGGCATTTCACATGAGGATGGCTGAAAGATAATTCCCATTTGTACCTCTAGCATGCATTTAAAAAACATTATTTCTTAAGATAACGTGAACTTTGTAGACAACTGCTATTGTCCAGTGACAGCTCCTACTGACAAAGGTGTTTAGCAGTGTGTATTCATTTCTTTCTGAGGTAGTGTTATTAATTGTTTGCTTGCTGGCTACAATAATCTTCATTGGGGATGGGCACGAACCAGTTGCTCATCGATCATAAGAATCTTGGAACTCTGGTGCCCAATGCAAGTTTCAAAGTCTGTGAAATTAGTGGGACGGAACTTTTCATTAAAATTTCCATTCTTTCCAGACAGACATGCCCTGTGCTTATATGACTTTAGGGTATGCAAAAGGAAATGTATATGATGAATTACACATGTGTTAAAGCACATTTCTGAATGTCTGAATTACTCATACTGTCTTCTAAACCTGTACATGAAGCATGCATTTTCAAGCTTTGCCTTTTCTAGAGAAAGTTTCTGGATATTTGCTCTCAGGAATGTTCTCAAATGAAGAAATTTTGAATTCAGAAAATGAAGAATGAGAAAATTAATCTGAAGATGAAATGTTGGATACCGCAAAAAAGTGGTGTAAGCGAGATAAGAATCAAATATCTCAACCATGTCTACGTTTTCTTATTGGAAATCCAAGAATTACAGTTCCTACCTAATAAATAAATGATACATTGAACTATTTCGAGTTATTTTTTTATAAGGATTTAACTGCTTTCATTGTCAAGGAAACAAACCAAATTATGTTCCATCTGTTTAACACAATAGGTTCCCTAGTTCGCAGACGGACTATGCAGAGTCTTACTTGAAAAATACAACTCTAAAAATACCTTTCAAAAGCAAAACTATGTACAGAAATGAAGGACTATGAAATTACGGACGAAAACATTAGAAGCAAAGTATTGGTTGAGAAAATCAATTCTGGAAAATCCATTTTTTTATGAAGTCAGTGCCTGAAACCAGATATTGTCTTATACTGAAATTTCTTCATTTTTTGAATTATCGAGACAAAATTTCCTGTTCACTTTCCTCCTAACTTAAAGAAATTTTGCGTTCTTTTTAAATTGCTGATAGAGAAATTCATCTCAATTCATGTTACAGTATGAGGCATAACACAGATGAATTCCTAATGTTATTCAAAGGGTGCTGTTGGAAAGATGGAAAATTTGGAAACGTTTACTTCTACCAAGTGGACAAGACTTGATGCTAAGTCTATCATGCTTTGCAAAAGCAGATAAAATTTACACAGGAAAAGACACCTGTTACTTTGAAATGTATGAAAACTATAGGGTAGCTACAAAAAGTGCCCTTTCTCTTCACGATAAACTCCTTGAAAAAGATTATTCATAACTGCCAATAACTTTTTGCATATCTCCTGAACCAGCAGAATTTTTAATTTCAAGGAAAACAATTATATAAATTATTTAATAATTATGTATGGAACAATTATATAAGACAGAAGAGGAATGCCAGCTGAATCAAAATCACAGATTATTACACAAAAGATATATCTGGCTGCTACAGTGGGAAAATACTGTTTTTCAAATGGATGGACAAGAAAATTATTATTGTGCATTATACATAAATGAACAAAATACATCAAAGCATTTCACTGCTAGAAAACCTGCTGTGGTTGTTGACTACAATCACGCAACAGGAGGAATTGATTTGGCGGACCAATGCTTACACCAATCCAATGAAGAAGTTCAATTACAAAATAAAAGCATATTTACAGAATGTCCTATATAGTCGGGCTAGCAGTCTTCAGCGAAAACATCCCTGCAAATAATTTTGACCCTACTTACTAAAATTACTTCACCTGCTTAAATGGGGGAAAAAAATCCAGAATGCTTAAAGTTGGAATCAATTTTATTACTTACAGTCATACTTTAGTTGCTTGGTGTTATATAATTTTTTAATTATGTAAGAGCATCTTCTCATACTGCTCACCCTATGCTATTTATATGCATAGAGACACAAGATACAAGCTTCCCATTGAACTGTGAAATGTCTCCCCCCCCCAGTGATATGTGCCAAGTTACCTGGGTGTTGACACAAACTGTTGTGGTTTAACACAATAGTTCCCTAGTTCGCAGATGGGGGTATGCAGTGTAAGGCAGGAAATTTTGATCTGGATGACAAAATTTTTAGAGTGGTTTTTATTAGGAATACTTATCACTGCAGAATAAAATTCATTTTGTTTAGCTACCATTTAAGAGGTTAAATCTGTTTCATTCCGTTTTGCTGTATTTATGAAGAAATTTAATATTTCTTCTGATATACTGCACGAATTTCAATATGCCTTAGAGAAAATATGTGCCATTTACAGTCACATTTTACAGTTTGCACAACAGAAGAGTCTTTGTAGGATAAAGCTGCAATGTGAATGTATTAAAGGAACTTTAGAAGCTTTAATTAATGCATGTAAATTCTGTAGAATATGAAGCTTTAAACTTCCAGCTTGACAATTTTAGCCTCTTATTTTGGGGCAGCATAATTCAAAAACTTAAAAACATCCAGTTTAATTGCAACACAAAGGAAGCGTGTGCCAACTTTCCTCATCATAAACTAACTGAATGGAACATTGCAGGTTAAAAAAGTCCTTCGTTGTAGGATGCCTTATTAGAAAGATTAAGAGTTGGAATTTTCAGACATGATTACCTACCTTTTAAAAACAGGAAGACTCTCAACTTAATAAGCAATGTATGATGTCATGAGCATTTATTCAATTAAAAGGATGAATAAGTTGCTAGTGTTTTGCATAACAATTAACTTGCCCCCTTTCTGTAAAATTCCACGAATTTTTAAGAGTTGAGTTTTTTAGAAATTTTGATAAGAACTACAGAGATCAGTAGCAACTGGAATGCAAGTCATGAATATTAACTTCTCCGCTTTCAGTATTAACCCTTCAATGCATCTTATATTTAATTCCATACAGACATCATTTTTGCTATAATATTTAATTGCAACCTTCCTTCCATCTGTTTGCTCCACTGTATCAAATTTGAAATACATAAGATGCTATTCATTATTCATAACAATCACTTTTAACAATAAATGGCAGGCTTAAATCACAATGCTTATTCTATTAAAGTTATTGCAGTTCACGTTACATGCAAGTCAAGTTTTTACAAACTACCTTAAACATGTTTTATCTCACTCCTGGTTTCATACCTTACATCTCAATGTATCTAACAGATAAAGTTAGTACTAAAACACATTAAAACATATATTTCACTTCTTAGGTCCACTCTTGAATATGCTGCATCCCATATGGGCACCAGCTTCTTCTTCATCTAAGTTTCCTAAATCCTGATAAAAATAATTTTTGTATTTTCTCTATTGAGAGAAAAAACAAATACTTTTCAACTTATAAATTTATGTGGTTCTGGGATCAAACAGATTTCACATCTGAAGTACCTAGGATTAACTCTAGATGCAGAATTCAAATTTTTATGACACCTTAAACAAATCTCTAGGAAAACCTTAAAAAGGCTAAATATTCTGAAAAGATTATGTGATACATCTTGGGGATCAAGATCAAAGACTCTTCTTAACACATATACTTCACTTATTAGGCCACTCTTGAATATGAAGCACTCGCAGGGGCACCAACTTCATCTTCTGTAAAGAAAAAGATAGTGTTCAATACAGGGCCTCCAAAATCATCATTGGAGCTGTTTCATCCACAAACAACATTAAAGCAGAACTGAGTGTGACCTAATCTCCTTAGAGAAATAGAAGAAAATTAGGCACCATCAAATTCACAAACAAAAAAACATTTAAAGCATGGAGTGGAAAAAAATAGATTGAAAAGTCCTCCACTTTACAAATGGACCAGAAAATTGGTAGAGAAACTGGCTTAGAGCAAGAAGCTATTGACATAAAGAACCTCCCCTTTCCCTCAGTCCTCCTCTACATGCAATTATCAATTTAAATCTCTTCATTCATGCACTAAAAAAGAATAAGCTGCACTATTTAAAGAGTAAGGCACCTAGACAATGAGCTTACAAACTCAGCTCATAACCTAACAACTGCCTACACAGATGGTTCCTCGGACACTGAGCTGAATAAAGGCACTTGAAGACCAGCGGACTGTGCCTGGGCAATGTGGACGACTAACACACTCAAAAACAGAATAGCCCTTGATAAAATAGAGAAAATCTCAGGACACTGCCTAAGCAGAAACAACCGTGGATAATATTATAATGTTTCAAAAGTTCAGAACTTAAAGCAGATAACCAGAATAATGCTTGGTGCTTTGCAGTTAACAATATGTAAAAACTGTTATTAGTTTATAATATTCAACCTTGTTACTCTGGAGTCTTCCCCGCCGTGATGGTATATAATTCCGTTTGGTTCATGTCCGTGGTCGGAAGCCATCATAGCGGTGCACTCATTCACTAATAATGTATTCTTTGTGCTTGAATTCAGTTGTAACAAAATTATATATTAAAGAACATTACACACTAGTAAATCAAAAGAAAAAAGAATAGCATTTAAGAGGAAAAAAAGCAACCTTGAACCTCTACAAGCAAGTTGAATACCATATAAAAAATCCAAATATTGAAAATAATACGTTGGTCAATTTTTACTGCATGGAAATCATCAAACTTTTTGTGTTTTATTTTTCATACCAAATAAATTTTTTTTCTGAATATAATTATGAAAAGTGGGAGATGATCTAAAAAGTTAGATTTTTGTGATTTTTACAGAATTCACATAGTTAAATTTTAAAATGCCAAAACAAGAACATCAGCATCACTTAAAACACTGCTGTATTTCAATGTTTATGAGTGACAATAAGGGAAGGCGGAAAGAGGCCACATGAAGACTTTTGTGGAAATTGTGTATTTTTTTATGTTTACACATAGGCTTCTATCACGACGGTGTATTTTTCATGTGTATACATGGGATTCTATCATGACAAAATTAATCTTTTTTTTTTTTTTTTTTTTTTAAATTTAGAAATCATGCAGATTAAATGAACATTATAGTATTAACTTAAAAATGAAGCCAAGCACCATTAGTGTTCTTGGTCACACATTAGAGAAACATATCTTTAACACATTATATCATGAATAAATAGCATCTTGTTTTTAATTAGATACATTTTACCAATATTTTGAATTCATAAACATTACTCAAATCTAGAGAACAATTTTGAAACATCTTTTTTATAACACAAAATTTGATTATATAATAGAAAGTTCCTAAAAAATTGCCATTCAATACACATGAATGAAAAAAGAAATTAAAAAATCTTACCAAGAAGTTCACATCATCAAAGCCATTTATAATTAGAATATTTTCATACTGAGGTAATCCAATATGAGAAAGCCACTGCTCAATAGTATTAAACGAAAATGAATTTCGAGAACAGCTTGAACCTATTAAAATAAAGGCTTTTTATATAAAAATAATAATACAAAAAAGAAATCTTAATAATAAATACTGACTTAAAAAATACATAAAATTATTAACTCTTTCTTCATAATTTTCTTCTATCACACAAACCTTTAAAATTGTTTGAACTTATGAATCAAATTTTTTATACATAACAACAGATGTGATCGCTTCATGTAACGATAGAACCTGAATTTAAGTTAACAAGTACATCCAGAAATAAAAATTAAAAAATACACTAGACCTCCTACCTTATGAGGATGGCGCTCAATGATCGCTCCAGTAAAGATAACGAATTTTAAAATGCAAGTTAATTTTTTATTTATCAATTACTTTATTTTTTAACATTATAAGTGTTTTATTACTCTACCGACAGGAGCCAATTCATTTAGGCACTATCAGTTTGGAATACCATCTCGGCCGTTTTTCTAGTATTCTTTTATTAGTGGTTTGGCTGCCTTTATATGTTTTCATCTTCTTTCTTTTTCAAGGCCATTTCTCCATTCAAACAAAAATAATATGAATCCTGATTAACATAGCATTGTTAGTATTTATCTCATCTTATGTTAGTAAATACTATATATACAGGTATTTCCAGACTTTTTGCCTGTTACATTCCTCTTCGCCTGACCTGATGAGTTGAGCATGATTTATGTGTGCCATGACGCCTTTGATCTATTTCAGTAGAAGTCCGTAAAAAGTGCATTGAGTGTGATGTTTATGGAGAGAACAACCACATGCAACACCACATTTTTGCTAACATTCTCTTAATGCTGAATAACACTTAAATGCTTTAAGTGCCTTTGGTACCCCCAAATTGAGGAAATTACTGATTTTTCAATTTTTTTGCTAAAACACATTTTAACCCTTTCCGCCACAGTGTGGGCAATCCCAAAAAGGTACAGCGTCTGGGGATTGCCAAAAAATTCCCTCTGTACACACAGAAAAATTGAATGGAAAAGGTTTTCATAGGTTACTTCTAACCTTCTTTATTTACACTAGATGATGGATGAACACAAACCAGTTCACACATTTTAGCCATGTTTAGTTTTTAAAGACCCTCATTTTTCAAAGAATTCTTCCATATTTTTTTTAAGACATAAAAGCAATTGTTTGAAAAGAAATTTCTATATTATTTTCTTGGGTGTATATTGATCTCTTTAGTCTATATTATTTTAATTTTTTTACCTAGAAATTCTGCCTAAAATTGAACAACGAACATCTGGTGTGACCAGAGTGGGATCACTGAAACACAACAGGACCAGAACAACAACTGTATCTTTGTTTCACGGCAGTAATTTCTTCCATGAGCTCATTTATAATAGTAAGGTGGGTGCACATCTGTGCTTCATTTCCTGTTTTTGTCCCCTTTTTTTGTCTGTTTGTTCTTTTTTGGCAGGGGGGGGAAATTGTTGGGGTGTTTTTTTGAAGATCAGAAGTAATTTTTCAGTTAGCTCTATGTTTAACAGTTTTGAGTTGTAGATATTTATTTAATTTTATACTTTGTATTTTCTTAATTATAGATACAACATTAGTTTATTTTTTCCTGATTTTTAATTATTTTGCAAATGGATCGGAGAGGACTGACTATTTCTGAAGCACTGAAAGTGCTAAATGAATTGCCTTCAGATAGTGAATCCAATACAGATCCTGGTACAGGTGCAAAATATGCAATGTTGGGTAGTGCTTTTCTAAAGGTGGTGTCACTTGCTCTGAAAAGTATGTTCGTGAAAAAAAAAAAGTGTAAATATGAAATCATATACCCAAGTTAACTTTTTTCATTTATACGCATGTAATCATCATATAACCAAAAACAGCTTTTTTTGAGGTGTAGAGTAGCAGGCCTCCTCATGGTGCACTCTGGGGAATGCTAAATCTACTACAGTAATCAGAAACTAGGGTTTTTTTAATTGTAGAAACATTTTTCACTCTACTTCAGCAGTGCTCACTTCAGCCCAGTTTTTGAAGCTCTATTCATTCAGTAAGCCTGCTTCAGGCATACCCAATTATGGTAAGTGTAATCTTTACAAAATTTTACCTGTATACTCCTCTAGGCCTAATTACACTGCCTACCATTTTCTTGTTGAAATTCCAACTTTAAAAGGTAGCATGCCAAAAAGGGTCAATACCCTTACTTCACTGAAGAGAAACTCTGAAACGATCTGACGATAATAAATGGCATAAAAAGGCTTTTAAAAATTTTGACAGCCTTTTAAATGACATACCCCCCCTTAATGTTTATTTTTTTAACCTCTTAATTGTTTTAACAACTTTTTTAAAATTAGTGTAAAAGAAGAGGAATGTAATTAAATACAACTGCAACTATCAAACTCTGTTTATATGTATAAACTGATTTATTTAAATACTAAGTCAGGGAAAAAAAAAAAAATTTTTTTTTTTCCTAATTTGAACTGGCTGGTTTATGTATGTATATATATTTAAATCAGCAAATATTTCGATGTATATTATCAGTCAATTTTGCTGTGCTTCAAAATTTTAATTATTTGTAATAAGATATGAACAGAAAGAGGCAGCGTAATGAAAGTGATTAAGTTCCTGACGGTAGCATTATTAAAAAATTGTGCTGATACGAACATTAAATTCTTTAATTAATTTGAAATGCAATTTATATACGAGACCAAATAGCTAAAAGAAGAGAAGAAATCATATATGTTGCTCAACGATTTTAAATAAAATGCTTTCTCAGTTCAAATTTCAAATTTTCCTTTTCAAAAAAAAAAAAAAAAAAAAAAAAAAAAAAGATTCTAAATGTTTTAATAGTGAGTATAAAATTTAATTTAATAATAATTTTAAAAAATATATTATAATTCATATATTAAAAGTGTTTTGAATGTGTTTTACAAAACAGAAACAGGTAAAGAAAAATTCTACTTGCATTTTAGGGTTTTTTTTATTTAGGGTTTTTAAGTATTTCTAGCCAGAAACGGTTTTAAATAAAAGCTTATAATTTATGTTTATATTAATCAATTGAACAGTACTAGGTTTTATCATATATACAGTCAAAAGTCGTTAATCCGGACTCGTCGGGACTTCGGCAATTCTGGATTATCGATTTTTCCGGATTATAGATCATCAGTTTAAATATGGTAAGATGGAATGCAGAAATTACAAAATTAAAAATATGAAACCATAATTTATGAAATAAAGAGCAAGTATGATCTAAAGGGTATCAAAATTTACAAAAAGAAAAAACTTAATATTTATTTTTTTACTTTATTAAACATTTCTTTCAATGTAAGTTGTTTATGTTGCTTCGTTTCATGTGATAATACTTTCTCTTTAATTCTATTAAACAGACATAATTTCTTGTTAAGTTACAAAGTTCCGCTGTTCAAGTCCTATGTGCTTTTACTTTTTTTTTCTCAGAAAATTTATTCATTAATTGCAAAATCAATCCTTAAAAGTTATTAAGCATATTCTAACAAATTAAATTAAAAAAAAGGTGGGAGGCATTGAAAATTGTAGGAGAAAAAAAACATTTTAATTATTAATTTTTCTACAAAAAATTTTAATTAAAAAAACTACATTTTTTTCCCAAGCTTAAAATTTTTTTATTTACTACAAAATTTTTTCCCAAGCTTAAAATCATTTTCTCACAAAACTATTTAATAATATTCATAAAAAAACAGATAAAAGTTCAAAAGGTACCAAGTCCTAATATGGATGTAGCTAATGTAGCTGAAGTTCAATAATAACATTTTAAAGAAATTTGAAAGAAATTCATGACCATGTAGGCAGTTTACATTCTTTTCAAGCTCCTTTTCTCAGGTCGCATTTTTTCGACGAATTCTTTTACTGAAAGCCCTTAAACTTACACAAAAATGGACTAAATTATTTAATATTTTTACTGCTTGCCTGCTTACAGAAACAAGGACGAGTTTTGCAAAATTCCACTTTGTGACACAGCAACAATTTAATAATGTGCAGTTCCCCATTGACAGCACAATCACTATGAAAACAGCTCTGTGATTGGTTTTTTTTTTTCTTCCACAGATGTAACAGATTTAGCAGCCTGGCCACTATGATGGATCAATCTGCAAATTTTTTTGGCATCTTGTCCTAACAACACTAACATGAAATAAATTAGATTTCATGCAAATAAAAACAGCAGTACAACAATAACATGAAATAAATTAGATTTCATGCAAATAAAAACAGCAGTACGTTACAGTTAATATATACAGGCATACAGTGTCACTGAATATGAGCATTTTGAACTGCATATGAAATACAGCTATTTTTATTATGTTGTGTTGTCTAATTTTAGCACTTCCTTTTGCATAGTCATCTTTTCCGTATTCTTTTTTAAATCTTACCATAGGAAACTTTTTAGTATTACTTATGCAATGCTGTACAACAATTCATTTCTCCCCTTTTATGTATGAGACTGCCCAATTGGCCTCAAAAAGTGAAATCCTATCCTCATGTTATTTCATAATGCACAGCCATGGAAGGGCTTCCAACATAAAAAAAATAATAAAATTTTGCAGTTCTCAATATACAGTGTTTGTACAATTTCTACTTTGGCACATCCATACCATATGAAAAGAAACTCTCCTGGACACAAATACATTTTAGTAAAATGTACTATTCTCTAATCTACATGGATGGTGCTCAAAGACTGTTACATTTACTTTGGCACACTCTATATAAAAAGAAACTCTCCTGGACACAAATACATTGCAGTTAAACATACTATTCTCTAATTTACATGGACGGTACTAAAACATTGTTATGTACCTGTTATTTGGACACTAATGAAATTATAAAAAAGAGGGAAAGCATGCCCAAATAACTATTATCAAATGCACTTAAAAGTACTCGCACAAATCTTCACCAGAATTAAACTGCCAGAAACATGCAAGCACATTTTAATCCAAAAACTATTCCAAGGTCTCTTTTTTTTAATCACACATATTATGTATTTATGGGGTTAAGTTTTCTGTCATCACAAATATTGTCC